TACCAGTCACTGGAGGGCCTAACTGCGGCTGGTGTAAGGAAGGTGGGCTGTGAGGAGAGATCAAATAGGGTTTTTGTTTTGTTTTGGGTTGGGTTTTTTTTGAGAGGTTTTCGCTACAGGGCGCATGTGCTCACCAGACAGACAGAGAGAGACATAGAGACAGAAAGCGAGAAATTACCCCCCAGGGGGGATGGTCACGCCGCAATCCCTTCTCCTCCATTCTCCTCTCGGGATCTTGGGCACGCACGCACACGCACCAGGCGTGAGTTCTAAGCCACCGGGTCCGGGACGCGAACCGCGGGCGACTACATGGGAGTCCAGCGACACAGCCATTACGCTAACTGCTGGTTCCCAGATCAAATAGGTTTTTATGCTTGAACCCAGGACAGGGCCAGAGCAAGGGTTAGAAGGCAGGGATGAGGAACCACTGAGAGTGGGGAATCGAGAACAGCGCCCTGAGCTGCCGGACTGGAGCTGGCTGGCTGTGGCTTAGGGCATTGGAGCAGGTTAGGAGAAAGGTCAGATCAACTCCCGCAGCCACAGGACCACGTGGTGGTGGGGTCTTGGGCCCCCAGCACTATTCCCACTCAGGGCGGGATGCTCCTCCCTCAGTAGGGTTGACAGATGGTTTGAGAGTGAATCCAGGAACAGTCTTTGAACAGCCTATCCAAGGATGAGACCCGGGGCAGAGCACTGACTTGCCCTGGGTCACAGAGTACCAAACACACGTGGGTAGCAAAGGCAGTAAGAGCCTTGTACACATATGACCAGACCGGGTACCAGACTGAGCCCCAGGCTGTGGTAGTTGCTGCTGCCCCTCCTCTCCCATGCAAACAAGCTGCTTCCCCTGTGTGAGAGCCAAATGGCCCTGCCCTGCGGCTCTCGGCCCCTGGCCAGCCCAGGCATCCTCTGGGCGGCTGGCGAAAAGGTCTGCACAGGATGTGCTGCAGGCTGGGCCCACAGGTCTAGGTGCGCAACAAGGCCAGGACGGGCAGAGGGGGTGGAAGACGCCCTCCAGACACCTCACCCGGCCCAGGAGGGGGTAGGCAATGCACACAGCTGGCTATCTGTGTAAACCGCTGGAAACGCCACTTGAGAGATTAAAACTCACACTCATCCCAGCAGTTTCCCCACTGCTGCTTTAAGGTCAAGAGCAGATGGCTTTTCAGGCACTGAAAGGCCTTCATCAAACAGCTGCCGCTCTGGCCTTGGGCTGAGCCTCAACATAAACCAGGTGCCGCTCCCCACTTCCTGTCTGAGGGAGGGCCAGCGTGCCCTCCTCCACAAGAGAGCCTCACAGGGTCCCCATTCCTCTGCTTACCTCCTTCAACTCTTTTCATTGCTAGGATAACCCCTCTGACTATGGTACCTAGGGTCTCCAGGAGCCAGCCAGAGGCCACACGGGCATGAGTCCAGGGAAATACCAAGCCCCCAGGAAAGGAAGGGACAAAGAGGGCTGCCCCCTGGTAACCCCCTTGTGGAACCAGGTCGCACTGCTCCCTAGAGAACCCCAGGGAGGTGGAGGGAGGAGTCAGAGGCACTCAGGAATCCCCCACCCGCGCCCCCGCCTTTCAGTGGCCATTTTCTGTTCTAGCCACAGGACTCAGGGCTCACGCAGCACACCAAAGCTTTCGCTTCCTCCCAACGCGGGTTCCAGGTCACTATCTGCATCACACGAGCAGTATTTTGTCTCATCTAAACTCGGCTGGAGTGAGGGCTGGGAGGAAGCCTCCAGTGCAGGGCTGACTTGAAGTTCTACTAAAGTCTCTCAAACTCAAAGCAGCCCTGCAAAGAAGGTGGGGGGGCCTCACCCCCCAGGCCCCTTACCTGGCCTCTTCTCACAACCCACCTCTCATCTTCCCTCCCTCACCGCTAGCCCTATGCCCTCCAATTCCCTCTAGCCGCAGAAAGACACAACTTGCTGATTTCCCCTCTCCAGAGCAGTCTCTAGACCAACGGTGCTACTCGTACTGGGTGCTGGTGTTCTTCCTCAGAGGGCTGCTGACCTGCTAGGGCTGGGGACACCTGAAGGATCCTGGAGAGAAATGGCAGAACAGGTGAGGACTGCTCCCCTGGGGTCCCTGGGTCATGCGCCTACACTTCGGAGTCCCCCTGCCATGCTGAGCTAAGCCCTGCAGAACAGGTCTCTGCCTGAGGACAGCCTCAAGTCCTAGCCACACAGAAGTGGGGCTGCTTCAGAGGCCCCCTGGTGTGTCCCCACCCTGACCTCCGCGGCAGGAAGATGAGGACAGAAAAGGACAGCTCAGCGAGTGGGCAAGGCTCTTAACAGGAACACAGAAAGAGAGGACCGCTGAATAGAAAACAATGCCCCTGAGGCAGAAGTCCCAGTACTGGGAGAGCACCCCAATACTGATGGCTCACCCCCTCTGGGCTTCCCCTCACCCAGGGGAAGAGGCCCCTTAAATTTTTCAACACTTGATGCCATCAAAGCAACACGTCGTTCTGGCCTCGGACTACACCACCATACAGATGAGAGTTACCACCGCGACGGCACAAACGAAAATGAAGATCGATGTCAAAATAAAGGCCCATGCACTTCCCCCCGAGATTTCCCTTGCCGCCTGTTCACCTCACTGTCCGCAGCAGTTCTCACTCGGTGCATTAACAGGTGGTAAACGACACAGATCTGCGTTGAGGGAAACAGCCCTCTTCTCCCCAAGAAGATGACCCGAGCATCTGCGGGGTAAAGTTCACTTCCATACAGCTCCTCCTGCCCCCACCTTCCCTCCCTGTGGGAGGAAACCCCCCATTGCTCTCTAGAAAGCTGGGGGACTAGCAGCAACCTGTGCCCTGGAGCCCTAGGAGAGATCCCAATGGACAAACTTGTAATTACGGTAATGATTTACAAATAAGCGACAAGAGGCACTCGGAAGGGCTGGTTAGAGATGCAGGCAGGCAGCTCAGTGCAACTGCCCAATGACATAAAAACTTCAGCCCCTCTCCTTGCAAATCGTCGCTTGGAGCTGTGTGCCCTAACAGTTAGCAAGGACCCTGTTGACAGGTGTTCTCTGCTCAGCAGGGGTACAGGAAAACCTGAGTCCCCAGAGAGCTGGGCCAGGCCGTTTAGTTGGTAATGACTCAGGTAATGCAGGCACAGGCAGGGGTGGGAGGGGACGCTAGGACACAGGAGAGACGAGAAGGGGAAGGAAGGAGAAGTCTCCCGTCCCGTCCCGTCCTGGGCTGCAGCACAGAGACCAAAGTGCTGCAAAGCATGGAGCTCACAGAGCCCAGCTGCTCTCAGGACACAGAAGTTTCAGGGGCCTTGTGGCCCCACCGCCTGCGTGCTGAAGCCCCAAACCGCAGGGTCAGGAGTGGTGAGATCACCGAGGTGATGGTGTGCTGTCGGCATCTGCACACAGCTCTCCGAAGCAAGGACGCGAGAGCTGGAACCCTTCTTCCTTCGACGGCCCCATGTCAGCTGAAGGAGCCACGCAGGCCCCGCCAACCCAGCACCTGTTCTGAAGACGGCCTCTGTTTTCACGACCGCTCTCAAATCGGTTCCCACTTTCCACTCCTGCTGCCAGCTTCCGGCCTGCA